GAGGGGGAGGACACGGTTATCCTCGAATCCGGCAACTTGCTCTATTACCGGGAGGGCGACCATCTGTCCCAAGGAGGTGTCGGATTTATCGTCCACAAGTCTCTTGTTAACAATGTTGTAAAGATTGGGAGTGTGTCGACGAGGGTTGCGTACCTTATGCTCAAAATTACCAAACGGTATTCGCTGAAGGTCGTACAGGTTTACGCACCAACCTCGGCACACCCCGATGAGGAGGTGAAGGAAATGTATGAGGATACGAGTATCTCTAGAGCCATGCATTCCTCCAAAACCCACCATACGGTATTAATGGGAGACTTCAATGCAAAACTAGGCACAAGAGAGAACGGTGAGCTGAAGGTAGGGAAATTCGGAATAGGGCAACGGAAAACAAGGGGCCAGCAGCTGGCCGACTTCATGGAGAAAGAGGGACTCTTTATGATGAACTCTTTCTTCCAGAAGCGGCCCCACAGGAAGTGGACCTGGTCGAGCCCCGACGGTTCGACAAAAAAAAAGATTGACTTCATTATGACGACCACACCACAACTTTTCAGTGATTTATCAGTAATCGCGAGGGTGAAAACTGGTAGCGATCACCGAATGGTTAGAGGCACACTGAACCTTAACGTTAAGTTGGAGAGGTCTCGTCTATGTCAACGCTCCGTCCCCTCGTGCCCTAGTTTAAAATCCCGAAACCTTTCAGCTCGAGGTACAAAACCGTTTTCAATGCCTGGAAAACTGCAATGAAGTGGATGATATAAATGATGAGCTCGTGGAAACTGTCCATGCGGTCGGAGCTAAGTTCTGCAAGACCCGCCGCAGAAGAACACAAAAACTCTCCGATCACACTCTTAATCTCATAGCTGTTAGACGGGAAATGAAGCTGCAGTCTTCAACAGATTTGACAGCATACAGGCAATTGAACAGACAGATCTCCAAATGCATGCGGCAGGACTTACGCAACTTCAATACAGCTTGTATTGAGGAAGCGATCGAGCGGAACCAAGGCTCCAAAGTCTTTGCCAGAGATCTGTCTGCCAAAAAGAGCCAAAGCTGAAGACCGAGTGTGGCAACATCGTTTCCGGGACACCTGACATTTTGTGTGAGATTGAGAGGTTTTATGGGCAGCTGTACACGTCAACGTTGGAGCCACACGCAATTGTGAGTAACGATCCAAGAGCGAGTCTTATCCGACACTATTCCGAAAATATTCCGGACGTCAGTCTGAGCGAGATTAGAATGGCTATCCAGCAGCTTATAAACGGCAAGTCCCCGAGCGAGGATGGAATTATAGCGGAGCTTCTGAAAGCGAGTGGAAAACCGGTACTTGAAGTCCTTCAGAAGCTATTTTATTCCGTCCTCCATGATGGTACTACTCCGGAGGCGTGGAGCAGAAGTGCGGTGGTCTTGTTCTTCAAGAAAGGCAACAACGTTCTCTTGAAGAACTACAGACCGATCTCCCTTCTGAGCCGCGTCTACGTGCTGTTTTCAGGACTCATTACGAATCGTCTCGCACGCAGTCTTGACGACTTCCAGCCTCCCGAACAAGCCGGTTTTCGAAAATGCTTTAGCACCATAGACCACATATACACCCTTCGGCTAATTTTACAGAAGACAGAAGAGTACAATCTGCCACTTTGTCTTGCGTATGTGGACTATGAGAAAGCCTTTGATTCCGTCGATATTTGGGCGGTGCTGCAGTCCCTTCAGCGGTGCCAAGTTGACTGTCGGTATATCGAAGTGTTGAAGTGCTTGTACAGTAGGGCTACGATGGCTATCCGAGTACAGAACCAGAGTACGAAACCTATCCAACTGCAGAGAGGTGTAAGACAGGGCAAAGTTATATCCCCGAAGCTCTTCACCGTTGCATTGGGAGACGTTTTCAAGCTACTGGACTGGATACGGTATTAATATCAATGGCGAGTACATCACTCACCTTCGATTTGCCGACGATATAGTCCTTATGGCAGAATCGCTGGAGGACCTAAGCACTATGCTCAATGCCCTTAATAGTTTCTCCCAACGGATAGGTCTTAAGATGAACATGGACAAAACAAAGATCATGTTTAATGTCCATGTCATACCTATGCCGGTAGTTGTTGGGAGCACTAAGCTCGAAGTTGTTGACGAGTATGTTTACCTGGGACAAATAGTCCGACTAGATAAGTCCAACTTCGACCGAGAGGTCAATCGACGGATTCAACTCGGTTGGGCAGCGTTCAGGAAATTACGGCACATCTTTTCTTCAAGTATACCTTAAAACTTGAAAACGAGACTAACGAGACTGCACAACTAGTGCGTGTTGCCAGTGATGACCTATGGAACTGAGACGTGTTCGGAGTATTTCTGCGTGATAAACTTAGAAATTAGGATATCCGCAGTAGAACCAGAGTGACCGACATAGCTCGAAGAAACGAAAATCGATGGGGAAGAAAGGTTCTCGAGTAGCGGCCTCTTATCGGCGGACGAAGTGTGGGGCGTCCCCCCACTAGATGAAGTGACGACTTGGTAAGACATGCAGGAAGTCGATGGATGCAGGTGGCTCAGGACCGTGTTTTGTGGCATTCCTTGGGGAAGGCTGAAGGGATGTAATGATGATTATGAGTAGTATTACTGTATTATTTTAATTACTTTCGATCAGATAACCAAACAGTCTCCAGTGCTAACACTATCACGTAAAATAATAAGACGTTCATTTTAGTGGGTATGGCCACAGCTGGTGTTGGCCTCTCTCATTATTTTCTCGTAATGCCCATGCTTGGGAGGTGGCTTACCGATTGCACTACCAACGTCTTGCATCTTTAACTCTTGTACACGTCAGTTATTTATGTGTGTTTTACATCTACATATACCACATATACACAATTTGAATTTTTAACCCTTTATAAATAGCAGCGTAATGCTATTTATAAAGGGTAAAAAAATATGTAATGTTTCGTGTGGTGAGTATGGTGAGTGTGGAGAACCGGAGACCCTTTTCGATAGGAGGCATTCTATCTAAGTTCTCAGGTTGACAACGCATCTGCAATTTGATTCTTAATTGAGGATCAATGTAGATGTCTATTGGCCGCAGCATCCACTTACCACCAGGTGGACTGTCTGCTCGTTTTCCACTTTTATTTTATTTAAAAAAAAGATCATAAATAGATAGGTCATAGATCATAGATAGAAGATATTTTCTCTAGTCGCCTCTTTCGACATTCATAAATCGTAAAAAGGTCTTTAATTTACGCAACCACCTCATAACATACAATTGGAAATATACCTAATTGAAAATTTTGACAACATTGCAATAGAAATACACACATCAACAGAATCTAGGGATACCTTAATCCTAAATTATTTACGACTTTATAGTTTAAAATCTTTTTAGTTTCCATGCTTATATACAGATACAGATCTCTTTTGTTCTATTTTCAAAATTTTAAAATGTAAATAAAAAAAAAACAAAATACAGGATCAAAATTGTTAGTAATTCGTTACGTCAAGGAATATTAAAATTGTTTTACTGATACTAATTAATGAAAAGGTATTAGATTCGGTTAGGATCTACTAGTTAGTCTGTGAGTATTAGATTATGTTTCTGTTTTAATTCAACGTACTGTGTTAGCTTTAAGAGTAATGTCACGTCGTCATTTGAGTCGAGATGAAATGTTAAGAGCCGTGGGCATGTTAGAAAATGGTGCTATTCAACGCGTCGTTGCTGAGGTAGGGCCTCAGCAACGACGCGTTGAATGTTGGTGGCTCCAGCCAAAACGTGATATCAAGGTTGTGGTCATGTTATCGCGGTAATGTGGATGTGGCTGAACGACACACGGGTAGATATCGTGTTACTACGCAGAAACAACATTGATTTCTATAAATGACTGCCAGGTGACAACCCAATATCACAGCGAAGCAGCTACTACAAAGACTCCAGGAGGACCAGCAGCTGCTGGTAAGCGACCAAACCGTGAGAAGGAGGTTGCATGAAGTTGGTCTTCATGCTCGAAGACCGCTACGTGTTCCAGCATTGCAACATGGCAATCGCGGTCGGCGGGTTTCGTGGGCTCGGTAGCATTTGCTATGGAGTGACGAACAATGGTCTTTGGTGCTGTTCACCGATGAGTCCCGGTTTGGGTTTCATCCGGATTCACGAAGAACAGGCGTTTGGAGTACTCCAGGGAGAGTTAGCCGTCTACGGCACCCTCAGCAGACCCACTCATACCAAGGAGGGAAAATCATGGTGTGGGCAGGAATTCGTCTTGGCAGACGATCCCAGCTCGTTTGGATCCAAAGGACTTGAGCATGACTGCACAAAAATACCAGGTAGTAGAGCCTGTTATTGTCACACACGGAATCCAAATGGGCCAGAAATTTCTACTCATGCACGATAACGCTCCTTCCCATACGGCACGGCTGGTGTCGGCTGCTCTCCGAAACCACGATATTCAAGTTTTGGATTGGCCTTCACAGTCGCCCGACTTAAATCCTACCGAGCATGACTGGAACATGTTACAACGAAAAGCTTTGAGAGATTTCCCGTCAAATTTGACGACGAAACAACAACTTTACGAACACTTGCAAAGAACATGCGACCTCATACCACAGCAAGACATTGACAATTTAATTTTAATTATGAACAATCGATGTCGACGCTTAATTTTTGTAAGAGATTGCAATGATTATTAATAATTAGATTTTGTCAATTTTAATTAAAATTAATAGTTTTATAAGAACAAATGAAGATTTTTTTTATCATACTAATTTTCTATAGCAATTTAAAAAAATTACATTTTTATTTAAAACAAAATAATTACGATATGTTTTTTTTATTTTTTTATTAAAGGCTTTAAAATAACCTATCATTTTTCCATTTACTATATTAGAAAATTCTTCATAGATTTTCAGATATTTGATGAAATATAAAATATTCCAAGATTCTGTTCACGTGTTTAAATATTCGTAGGATACGTTAGATGATAGTTCATTGTTTAACATTGATATATTTTTTTATATAACAGAATAACGGGGCTTGATCCGGCACGTGCTTTATTTGAAGGCACCTTCGCTTTCTACACAACACTGGACCGAACCGCTGCAATGTACGTCGACATTATTCATACCGACTCGGGTAATTACGGCATAAGTAAAGCCACGGGAACAGTCGACATATGGCCAAATTACTATGGAAAAAATATCAAGCAGCCCGGCTGTCCCCAAAATGCATCAGACAGATTCAGTAGTGATGGTAAGACAAATTTAAAAAAACATCCTCTATATTATTTTTCTATCTATTATAAGCCAGCGCTTGAGTACTATTTTATTTATTTTTATTTATTTAATCTTGATTGTTAACACCCTAATAACTAAGGTAACAAAGGGCGGACTTAATGTCTAACGGCATTCTCTGCCAGTCAACCCGTGGAGTGATGAGATTTTGTGGAAGGTGCAAATTCATATATACATATACATACATACATACATACGTACTATGATATACAAAAACATTACATATAGTGTATGTAAATATATGAAACCATGAAATATGTGAAATATATGAAATGTAAATATATGTATCTAGATATAATATATACGTTACATATGATAATAAAATACATATATTGAAATTGCAAATAAACATCTTAATATATCAAAATATATCCTCATCATTCTTAACGGCCAACATCGCTTCGTTTAAAAAAGTCATGTAGGAACTTTTTAAAACAGTTCTGACTTGGCGTTCTTCTTTCATTTTCGTATAAGGAATTCCAGAGTAGTGTTACCCGAATAGTAAAAGAATGGTTGGTGAACCCATAATGAGATGGAATACTGATCTAATGATTAGATTAGGAGCGAAGAACCTTATCATGAGTTGAATAGAGATACTGGAGTTTGTCCTTGAGATATGTTGAAGTTGGATTATTTAAAATTGAGAGAACAAGCAGAGTTCTAGAGTTTCGCCTTTGTCGCATAGTGAACCATTTCAGGCGTTCACGATAATGTGAGAACATACATTCGGAGACCAAATATATATCTAATACGGTTATTGAGAAGACGCTCTGGCTTGTTAAGAATATTTTGGTTACAAATCTGTTAGTTCAATGTTAAACATGGCCTGACTCATATTAATGATTCCCTGTAATCCCACGATTTCAAGACATATCCATATATAAGATCGCAGTACCAAGCCTCCTACACCGTAACGACATGATATTGATAAACTGCCATATACTTTTCCCCAAAGTTTCCCTTGTGTAATGGGACTCTGGGAGATATTGTCAATTCAGCTGCCAAGCGCGACGATTAAGACAAATCTTTATCTACAATGAGAGAAGGCCTTACATGGCTGATAAAGTGGGAGGAGATGGAAGTGATACTATGTGCATATTAAATTTGGTTAGAACTTGTTTAGTACGCTACTCTATAGTCTCAGATTAACAAAGAAAGGAAGACGAAAAGCAGCGTACATTTTAATCGCGCTGAAACCTGGCTTGTTTGATATTATATTTTTTTTTATAAAATAAGGGTTACAAACGAGCACACAGTCCACCTGACAGTAAGTGGATGCCTCTATCCTCGATTAAGAATCAAAATGCAGGTGCGCTGCCACCCACGACTAAGTTGGATTACCTCGTTTTTAGTAAAATGGGTCTCCGGTTCTCTATACTCACCATACATCACAATCATCGGTTCATTAACTTCGATATCACTAACTTTAAAATGAAAATATGGTGAAATTGATAATATGAGTAGGTATATTATCAATTTCACCATATTTTTTTTTAGAAAGAGGTTAAAAATATTGTATTTTATATTTGAATAAATAAAAAAAACCAATTAATAACCCTTAACTCCGCGAGTAATGCATTCGACTAGGATAACATTGATCATTATATTAACATCATTTCTAATTGCTACAGACCTATGCAGCCATAATCGCTCGTGGCAGTACTTTGTAGAAGCAATATTGTCGCCCACCAACATCTCGGCGGTGTGCGCGGAAAACTACCAGGCCTGGATGGCGGACTACACGAAATGCAATCAAACTATATACATTGGAGACTTGATTAACACGCGGTTAGTGACATAATCATGACTTGCGATGGGATAAAGTTTTTGCTGATTTAGGAATTCTAAAAAAAAACACTTCCATTATCTAAAGGTGAACGCACATTTATCAAAACCGTTCGCACCGTACGCGCCGTATTTACTGACAGCATCGCACATTAGCACGTACGCGCCGTACGCGCCGTAGGGGTAACCGGATACAAAAGTAACATTTTGTACCTTTACCTTGGTTTCTGGTTAGGTGTAATTATTTTTATGAAATAAATATAGCCATATATACATTGTTTATGTATATATGGCTATATTTATACATTAAATCAGCAAATTGTTTATTAGAAGACTTTGTATTACTAACACAGATAAACATTTGCATTTTAACAGATCAAAAAGTATATATTTTTAAAAAAACGAAGCAAATTATTTTTACTTTAAGTAATGAGATCAATTATTATATGTTAATCATTTTTTTATAATCAGACTATACTATATGGATCTTTGTTTGTATGATTTCTTTGCCAAATACATTGTTAACTGTACGCTGGACAGTCTGGTCACTCGATATTGGATTAGTCGTAGATTATCAACTGGTATCTCCGGATCAACTTAGATGGAGGACGAGCTAAAATCTTACTAGGTTTTTGGGTAGTGGTCACCCCTGTCTCATCCATATTCCAGATATCTTTTAGTTAAAATTTTTACCAATCCATTACGTCAGCAAAGTTATCAAAAACTTACTCCCACTATGAATTCGTTGAAACTCAAGGCCCGCGAGAGGATTGTTACTTGAGGACCTTGTCCTTAAAGAGAGGCTCGGGTGTCATTTATAAAACCCGTCCACCATTTCTTACCAGCCATTTGATAACGGTGGTACAGCCACGCGGCAGTTTTTGCTGTTGCACGTATGGGCCGGCTCGAGCCGGGTTGGTACCACGACCTCACAGAATACCGGCGTGAAGTAGAAGCTCTGCTTCTGCGTTTTGTCTGGTGAGTGCAGGTGGCCGGAGGCCCAATTCCCCCCCGCCCCCCCCCACATAAACATGGTAGCGGAATTACACCAAAGACTACCCCAGGAGGGTGGGTACCAGCACCCATGGAGAATCCTTCGCTGAGCATCCACGACCATGTTATTCCACTCCTGAGCGTGGGTGCTCAGGCTGCCCCGAGTATTGTGGGAGTGGGGGGGGGGGGGGCAAATACCGCTCAAAAACATAACTGCTCGGGGCAAACTGAACAACAATACCAAGGCGATCCCTGTTACGCTATCCATGAATTTCTGCAACATCAGGGGATTTCACTCGAACCTAAACGCCGTCCACTACCATCTCGAGACGGCGAAGCTGGCCTTGCTCTTTCTGACAGAGACGCAGGTGTCCTCTCCGGCTGATACTTCGTATCTCTCCTACCCGGGGTACAAATTGGAGCACTCTTTTGTGCCTCCTGCAGGAGTTTGCGTGTATGTCAGAGAGGACATCTGTTCTCGACGCCTCGGCAGTCTTGAAGGTTCGGACCTGTCCATCCTTTTGCTACGCGTAGACAGCGACGACCATCCGTGCGTCTACTGGTGCCTCTATAGGTCCCATAGCGGTAATGCCGAAACAGAACGACTCATCGACCACGTCCAAATGGCTACAGATTCCTTGCTACAACAGGTCCCATCCGCAGAGATCGTGATCCTTGACGATTTTAACGCCCACCACGCCGAATGGCTCGGTTTACGTTTAACCGATCATGCGGGGAGATCTGTTTATGACTTTGCCTTGGCATATGGTCTGACACAACTGGTTACTTCGCCTACGCGGATTCCAGATGTGGAGGATCATACACCTTCCCTGTTGGGCCTTCTGCTGACCTCTCATCCGGACAGATATCAGGTTTCCGTCGATGCCCCTCTCGGCTCTTCGGACCATTGTCTGATCCGGAGTGTGGTGCCACTCACGCTCCCCTCACGGTTGCGTTCTGCAGGTTGCCGCCGTGTTTGGCATTACAGGTCGGCGGATTGAGACGGAATGCGATCTTTCTTTGCATCCTACCCATGGGGGTGGGTTTGTTTCTCGCCGGATGATCCCAACGCTGTTGCTGACTCTGTCACTGATGTGATGCTACAAGGAATGGAGCTATTTATTCCATCATCTGTGGTACACATGGGAGGCAGATTGCTTTAGTCTTGCTTAGAGCTTGGTTTAGTCGCTCCTGTAAGACTGCATTACGCAGTAAGCAGGAGTGTTATCAAGCCTGGGCTGCGGCTTCGGCGACTCGGGATGTAAACACCAGAACACTTTTGCCAAGGCAAAGTCAGAGCACATGGGCAGAATTGGCGAGAAACTAGTTCGCCTTCCTTCGGGAACCCGTGCATTCTGGTCTTTCGCCAAGGCTGTCCAAGGGAATTTCTGCAAGCCATCACTAGCATCTCTGCACAGGGAGGAAGACTCACTGGCCCAAGCCGCAAAAGACAAAGCTGACCTTTTAGGCTCCCTTTTAGCGTCCAACTCGACTCTTGATGACGGGGGGAAACACCACCGACCATCCCGCGGTGTGAGTGCTCTATCCCGGATGTGCTGTTCTCACAGCGCTCGGTTCGTAAAGCACTTCTCTCCCTGGATATCCAGAAGTCGAGTGGGCCTTACGGAATCCCTCCAATTGTGCTGAGGACGTGTGCTCCGGAGTAGGCACCGGTCCTAACGCGTCTTTTCCGATACTCCTACTCCCAAGGCGTAGTCCCGAATTCATGGAAGACAGCTTTTGTCCACCCGATCCCTAAAAACGCCGACCGCTCAGACCCGTCCAACTACAGGCCTATCGCCATCACCTCCTTGTTCTCCAAAATAATGGAATCCATTATTAACTGTCAGTTCATACGGTACCTTGAGGATCACCAGCTGATTAGTGACCGCCGATACGGTTTTGATCGGGGTCGATCAGCTGGTGATCTTCTGGTCTACCTGACCCATAGATGGGCGGAGGCAGTAGAAGTCCAAGGGGGAGGCGTTGGCCGTAAGTTTGGACATTGCGAAGGCCTTCGATCGGGTTTGACACAAAGCGCTTCTTTCGAAGCTCCCTTCCTATGGGCTTCCCGAGAAATTGTGCAATTGGATCACCAGCTTCCTTGCAGATCGGAGCATCAAGGTCGTTGTAGACGGTGCATGCTCCGACTACAAGCCTATTAAGGCTGGTGTTCCACAAGACTGTGTGCTATCACCAACGCTGTTTCTTCTGCATATCAATGATATGTTGCTAACTGGTAACATTCATTGCTATGCGGATGACAGCACTGGTGGTGCTCTATACACCGGCCGTGCCAATATTTCTCGGGAAAACGTCGCCGAGTACCGGAACAAACTTGTGCCTGAAGTCGAGTCTTTGCTGAACAGTCTCTGATTGGGGGCGACTAAATCTAGTCCAGTTTAAGACACAAGTTTGCGCGTTTACCGCTAAAAAGAACCCCTTTGTCGTATCTCCTCAGTTTCAAGGCACTCCCCTTCTTGCCTCAGCCAGTATCGGAGTATCCTCGGAGTCGACATATCGAGTGACGTGCAGTTTCGTGGTCACTTGGAAGAGAAGGCCAAATTGGCCTCTAAAAAGCTTGGCATGTTCAGCAGAGCGGGACAGTATTTCATGCCGGCACACCGCCTGCAACTTTACAAGGCGCAGGTTCGGCCTCACATGGAATACTGTTCCGATCTCTGGGCAGGAGCTCCCCAGTGCCAGCTCCTTCCACTTGACCGCATCCAGCGCAGAGCTGCTCGAATCGTCGACGACCGAGTCCTTGCCGATCGGCTCGATTCATTGGCACTGCGAAGAGATGTTGCATCCCTTTGCATTTTCTTTCGCATTTAGCACGGGGAGTGCTCTGAGGAATTGTTCGGATTAATCCCAGCCGCCAAATTTCACCAACGCACATCGCGGCAGAACTCCCGATACCATTCACACCATCTGGATGATTGGCGGTCCACCACTGTGCGATTTAGAAGATGTTTTCTTGCTCGCACGACTTCCTTGTGGAATCGATTACCATCAGCGATTTTTCCGGACCGATACGACTTAGGGACCTTCAAGAAAAGAGCCTACTTCTTTTTAAAAGGCCGGCAACGCATCTGCAATTTCCCTGGTTCCCCTGGTGTTGCAGTTGTTCATGGGCGGCGGTAGTCACTTACCATCAGGTGAGCCGCATGCTCGTTTGCCCCCGTTCCTATAAAAAAAATTTGAGTATCGTTCCACTTTTGAGGAAATGTTTTTCCATTTTTTATCGCCAACTCATATGCCCGTTTACGTACTTCAGATGGAGATAACCCAAAAAAAAAAACTCAAGAGCACTCGATTAAATAGTCCTGTAGACATTTTTCCTCATCAATAGTAAAAACACGGTTGACGCAACGGTAGCCCACAACTACGCTAGTATTTTCTGCTCTATTTTTTTATGTATCTATATAATGTTACATGACAAACATTATATTTATTTGCCAAAGATCTAATTTTTGTATCTTCTCCTGAATGCTATTCGACCACTTTTCGGTACAGTTTCGTGTCAATAGTTCCTCGTATGGTAGTTCTAAAGCGTTGTCGTGGCATTCTGTTCAAAAAATACACACAATATTAAGTAAATAAATCAATACGGGGACAAAAGTAACATGTTACTTGTGTACGCATAGGGCTATGTTACTTTTGTACCCTACCACATTTTCTCTCCCCTACGCAAATCTTTAGTATTGCCAACAACTTTTGCAGTTTTTTTCTAACCACTGGTGTAAAACGGTACAGTGTCATTGATTGTTGGGAATCGCTCGGATCGCTATGGAAAAAATTCTTGTAATAGCCTGCTTATTGGCAGAGGAAGAAGAAAATATAATTCTAACGAAAAGAAGATTCTGGATTCACAATATTAATTTAAAAAGGCGGTTGTATGGAGAATATTATATGTTATATCAAGACTTATTAGATGATGATGAAAGATTTTTCGGAGATTTGCAGTTGAATAGATCGTCTTACACATATCTTGTCTGACAACTCATTATTGCCTACTCAGTAAAAGTAAATACTCCTGAAATGAAGTAAAAATATTTTCGAAAATATATGGTGGAATGATAATCTTGCCGCTAATTGAAACATAATTCTACTGAAACACTAGAAAAATCAATAGTCACTGTAAACAATATTTCTCTACTAGAAGTGTAGTCGAAACCACCCATTTTAGTGGAAAATCGACTAAGTTGGCAACATTAGGCAACACTAAGTATCAGCATGCGCCGAACGCGCCGAATTATATTACGTCATTAGCATGCATCCTTCGATATTCGTATACCGCATTTTATAAAATACGGCACTGTGAAATGTGGTGCCGAATGAAATGAAGGTTTCATATGATTTCATACAATGTATCCTAAAATGCGCCACGTACGGCGCGTGCGGCGAGTACGGGCTGACAAATGTGTGTTCACCTTAATGGCTCACGTATTGCAACCACGCTACATAACGTATTATAGTATGAAACACATTTTTTTCCTATGTATGTAAGTAGCTCTTATGTAGCTTTGAAAAGAAAAGAAGAACAAAAGTCTAATTAATAATGGATGATGCCATTAAGTGCCCCAATACCTAAAATCGTACTAACACAAAATTATCAGTTCTTTTTTTTTTTAATCTACTAACATACTTTCATATACATATTTATTAGTGACACGGATCACGGCTGTTGATTAGATTCTGAGAAGATTTTTGTAAATTGATACGACGTTGCAAATTAAAATTGAATGAAATGGAATAACATTTTGTCAATTTAACTACTTTAACAATATTACTAATACTTACAGCGACCGTGTAGTGGCGTCGTAGAAATACCTATCCATACCGACACGTTAATGTCATAAGAGGCGACAGAGGGAAAAAAATAAGGAGATGGGCTGTTCTAAACACTGCGGTTGTTACCAACCTGCCTGCCAACAGTGGCAACTTTGGCAAATATCGCTCATTTGAGGCAATCTATGGGGAATCCCTTTGTTCAGTAGTAGACTTTTATTATTAAACTGTAACAAATGATTTTAAAAAATCAGTATCAAGCGGATTTCTATGTCATATTCATTAGTATTTCTTTCTCCAGGGCAAGAGGCAACTACTACTGTTCAACTAATTCCGAACCTCCATTCGGAAAAGGTACAGAAGGACTGAAGCCAGACTACCAAGGAACTACCTCTCCCTGACCGACCTCTCTTTCACAATTAGCGAATTCGTTGAGTTGACAATTAAGACCCGGCATCGACTATTCCAGACAGACTGTTGTTTATTTAAAATATTACTTTTATAGATTGCTAACTTAATTAAAAAATAGAGAAAAATCAAAGATGTATATTTCCTTGAAACTTCGCACTATAATAAGTATGAGTTGATAAGTTTGAGTTGAGTGAGATCAAAGTGAGACATAATTTTAAAATATTTAGGTATGAAAATTCTAATATAATAATGTTTAACAAAATATTTTAATTAAAATATATCTACATGATTCAGGCACTTATTTTTTATTTTGTAAAAATAAGTAATGGCAGCTGAAACTTAGTCTGAAATCGACTTAAAAATCTTGTTACAAGTTTCTGGATTATTATAGTGAAAGTGGCTTTAAGGTTGAGTAAGGCCGGCAACGCATCTGCAATTCCCCTGGTGTTGCGGTTGTTCATGGGCGGCGGTAGTCACTTACCATCAGGTGAGCCGCATGCTCGTTTGCCCCCTCTCCTATAAAAAAAAAAAAAGTAAGGAAACTTCCATTCTAGTAGGCGACTGCGGTTCCAGAGTTTGATTTCTACCAGGGACCAACATTAATGTAATAACAAAACAAATTGTTGAATTTGGTATAGATAAAAATAATGTGTTCACAGTTTTCATCACACAGTGAACATTTTAGTTTCTTTTGATTTATCTACTCTTTTAATACATCTTTAAAGTACCTCCATTCGCACAGAATTCGCAGCCTCACCAACATAGTTTGATCGTCTCTTAAGCTATTGAGGCATGTCCATTGTCTAGCAAAGTTATGAGTTGTTAATATCATACCATGATCGCTAGTCTTCTCACAAAACGGTACCAGTGCTCTTTCCCTCATGAGCCGTCGAAACCGAATAACTGTCTAAGTGGTGCCATGTCAGAAGCAGAGGCCTATGTACAGCAGTGGGCTCCCGCAAGCTCGTGATGATGATGATGATCCTTTATAAATTTAATAATGCGTATGAATAGGAAAAGGGTAAGATAGGAATAAAAATAAAAAAAAAACTCAGTAGATAGTGTACAAATGTGTTTAATTATAATGTTTACAATACACAATAATGTATATACATAATAATACATGTTAACTTTAGAACAAATAATGCTAAAATCACATCTTTTTTCTTTACACGTTTAATATACTCACTTAAAGTTTTGTATATCTTAAAAATAACTAAATATTTACAATCTTCGATCATATGGACAATTTAATTTTTTCAATTCATAGTAATGTGGAAAAAGAAAGGAAATAGCGATTTTCTATCGTCGAAAATATTGTGTAATGTACAAAAAATATATAAAAAAGTTCATATAAGTAAAAAACCTGTTTAACATAAATATCCCACCTATCAACCTTATTGTTTTTACAACGAAAATCCTAATGAGGAAGTAGTTTTTTCTTCTTTGGTAATGGACTCATACGGTTGTACTTTTGCCAGGGTCAAGTAATAGGAAATATAATAGTTGTTCAAAAATTTTCCTACAATGTTGGATACATTATTTATTATTTATTTTAATAGCCATAAAAAGTATAAAATAATTATATCACAAAGCAAATATCAATATCATAGAAGCGTAGAACAAGACTACCCAGAAATACCGCGTATGCCTAGAGTTTCATGTAAGTTTTTATCGTGGTATCGTGAAACATCTAGAAGTCATTTCGCTTTGCAGCAGTTATTTTTAGAAAACACCAGTTGTTCAACGATATTGAGATTCATGTTATTTCATCAGATCAATTACTTAAAAAATATGTCACTTATAATACCGTAATCGAATTAGAAATCAGATTTGTTAGATCACATTTGTTATATCTCACAAGTATATTTTCGGTAATTTTAAATTTTATATGAACTTTTGTGACAAATTGCTCTATTTATCTATTAACACGCGAAGAGAATACTTTGTACCCCTATTTGAGCATATTGCGCGCACGGAGGAGTGTGAGATTCAGTATAGTTAACGTTTATATCGAAAAGTATTGCAGAATGCAAAAAAAATATAGATAATATGTGTTACAAGTAGATTTGTCTGTGGCTTTGTTAACTTTTTTTTATAGGATAGGGTGACAAACGAGCACACAGTCTACCTGATGGTAAGTGGTTGCTGTGGCCCATAGACATCTACATTTGAATGCATGATTGTAAAAACCCACCTCAGACCACTTTTTCCAAAATACTGTTTATTGTGGATTTATATTCTCTACGGCAAGACAAACTGTTTGAGTGTGAAAACGCACCTCAGTCATGTAAGCATTCCACAGTAATAGAAGCACAAATATTTCAATGAGCGTAAAAATCCACCTTATCCTGGATGAGGTGTTTTTTTACAACCAAACATGTGGCAACACCTAAAACTGTCAGCTGTCAATATTGACGTTTTTAACGTTAGTTTGTTTAGTTTGAACAACTGAGGTGACTGTAACGGACACGAATTACTTGTATTACACAAATAATTTGTGTTTACACAAATTAAATTAAATTTTGCTGCTTAATGGTGAAAATGAGTGCTGAAATGGAGGAAAGTGTAATATATTTAAACCCAGGTGAGCCCTCCTCGGGTGAAACACGCACTAAAAAACGACGTGATAACTCTGCTGATTATTCTCGGAATAAGATCAAACAAGCACGTATTCATGGGCAGGCTTATGTGACGGCAAAAAATAAAACTGTACGGGCTAAGACAATAGGACCTCCATGCAAATGTGCTAAAAAATGCTGGGAAACCATATCCGAAAATGACAAATTAGAGAACCTTGCCAAATTATATAACTTGGCGACAAATAATGAACAAGATATCTATCCCCAGGGGTTAATATCCTGTAAGGACATAAAACGACGCCGAGTGCTGAAGGAGAACACATTGAGACAGAAAATATTTACATACACCGTTCAAATTGGTAATGAGAAGAAAGATGTATGCCATTCTGCTTTTCTTAGCTTGTTTTACAAGTGTTTTACACGGTATTACTAAGGACCGTGTTAAGAGGCTCCGTGACTTGTTGGTCTTGGGTAAAATACCGGAAGACAAGAGAGGGAAATCGAAAACGGTCAATACGATGTCTAGTGACAAAATCACTGCAGTGATCTCTCATATTTCCTGTTTTCCAGCAAAAAAGAGCCACTATTCTTCTGGCATAATAAAGTATCTTCCTGCTGACCTATCAGTAAAAAAAATGTTTCGACTTTATAAGGAAAAATATCCAGGAACTAGGATTAAGTACGAATATTATAATAAAATATTCAGGGAGAACTTCGCTCTTCGCTTTGGACGACCAGCAGTAGATACGTGCTGCCTCTGCGAGAGTCTAGACTTGAAAATCAATTCGAAAACCCTGAATGACGTAGCTAAAAAGGTAGCTTTGGCCGAAAAGCTAGTACACAAAAAGAGGGCAAAGAAGTTCTATAATAAACTTCAAGAAGCAAGGCAAAGATCCCAAGAAGATGAAACATTTTTGGGAATTTGCTACAATTACATGCAGAATGTGTCGCTGCCAATAATTCCAGTGCAAGAAATATTTTATCTGCGGCAACTGAGCGTTTCTATCTTCTGCATCCACAATTTGAAAACGGGTAAAAATGTCCTGTTCGTATATCATGAAGGGCAAGCAAAAAAGGGACCAAACGAAGTATGCTCGTTTATTATGACATACATTAAGGAGTACGTCGACAAAAAAGTGGTAGAACTAATGCTCTTTTCTGATAACTGCGCAGGACAGAATAAAAAAAATACATCAGTACGAATGAATATATAATATTACTTGCCGTGTAGTGGCGGTTAAGAATATCCACTACCCCATATCTTCCCGTGGGTGTCGTAAAAGGCGACAAAGGGAAACAGGCAGGAGATGGGCAGCAGCATCTTCCTGGTAACGACAAAATACAATAAAAAACTGCGGTTGCCAACCCGCTCGCCGGGCGTGGCAACTATGGCAATATACCCCCCATAATGAAAGTTACGAAGAGACGGCCCCCAGTCCCCGGCGGCCCCGCTATTCCTGGCTACGGTGGCGACCATGGTAACGGCGGGGCAGGGGGTGCTAAGAATCTCCGGTGGAGGTTCGGTTGCCACCTACAACGACTCGACCTGGCAACATACAACGCACGCACCCTGAGGACTGACGAGAAGATTGTGGAGCTGGAAGAAGAGATAGACAAGTTACGCTGGCATATTATAGGATTATCCGAAGTCCGAAGAGAGGGGGAGGACACGGTAATCCTCGAATCCGGCAACTTGCTCTATCACCGGGAGGGCGACCATCTGTCCCAAGGAGGTGTCGGATTTATCGTCCACAAGTCTCTCGTTAACAACGTTGTAAAGATTGAGAGTGTGTCGACGAGGGTTGCGTACCTTATACTCAGAATCACCAAACGGTATTCGCTGAAGGTCATACAGGTTTACGCACCAACCTCGGCACACCCCGATCAGGAGGTGGAGGAAATGTATGAGGATATCTCTAGAGCCATGCATTCCTCCAAAACCCAATATACGGTGTTAATGGGAGACTTCAATGCAAAACTAGGCACAAGAGAGAACGGTGAGCTGAAAGTGGGGAAATTTGGAATAGGGCAACGGAACCCAAGGGGCCAGCAGTTGGCCGACTTCATGGAGAAAGAGGGACTCTTTATGATGAACTCTTTCTTCCAGAAGCGGCCCCACAGGAAGTGGACCTGGTCGAGCCCCGACGGTTCGACAAAAAATGAGATTGACTTCATTATGACGACCAGACGACAACTGTTCAGTGATGTCTCAGTGATCGCGAGGGTGAAAACCGGCAGCGATCACCGAATGGTTAGAGGCACACTGAACCTAAACGTTAAGTTGGAGAGGTCTCGTCTAATGAAGTCAACGCTCCGTCCCCCTCGTGCTCTAATCCAAAGTCCCGAAACCTTTCAGCTCGAGTTGCAAAACCGTTTTCAGTGCCTAGAAGACTGCAATGAAGTGGACG